ATATATATATTATTATTATATATACACACACACACACACACACACACACACACACACACACACACTTAGGATAATCAAGTATACAGATAAAACAGATGAGAGTAGGATATGTTAAAATTTTGTGTTAATATATTTATTTTTGTAACGTATTGCGTCTTCACTTTACTTAGAAATATTTCTATATCGTTTTTCTATCGTCTAGGGCTCTCTTATATTATTGTTATTTATATTCAATCGCACAACTTTTAAAGTCTAAACCATCAATACCGATATCGTTACAAAACTTGTTCCGGGAAGTTGTTTACTAAATTTACTGATACGGTAAATGTATTCATTCAATAAGTATATTTGCTAATCAAAGTATGACGCATATATTAATTTATAAATAACGAAGTTTAAATTTTTATTAATGGAAATCTGATTTGATAAAATCATGCAAAAACAAAAATATATCAATTTAGATAAATAATTTTGTTAGCAATGTACGTAAATATTTGATATATGATATATAAATATACGCGTGTCAATCACATAAGTTGTAAAAGAAAGTTAATATAGAATATTATATCAGTTAATAAATTGATATTTTTATTAATAAATATACATTTGATTTTGATATTGTCGTTTTATCAGTGTATTTTGTATTGTATTCAGCAAATAGATTTTAGAAAAACGACTACATTTACTAAATTAATTACTTGATTACGGATTACCATAACATTTTATATTCGAATTTTTTAATCATATTCGATCCCATACACGTGGCGAGTAATTACATTCAGATTTTAGACAAATTTAAACTCAAACGATTACATAGGCGAAGAAATTTCGATTTCGACACTCTTCGCCATCTCTCCCCACAAAACTCGTTTCCTATTTTTCCCCCAGCCATCTCCGCGTCTATGCTTCCTTTCTCGTATCCCTTTCGACGAGTATCTTACGCAATCGCGGACTCCATTCGCGACACTGGTTTAACCGTAGCGGCCACCAATTAAATCCATCGAGTTCCAAGACCGTCGTCGATCGTATCGTCGATCGCGGAACGGGGATCGTGGCTCATAAGGATCCTGGGCTCGAATTCGTATCGCGTTGTATTTATATACGTTTCTCGATCTCGGTGTAAAACCGATCGAGGCCAGACGAGATCGCGGGTGCCGATCCCGGGCTTGGATCCTTCGTCCCCTCGCCGCCCTTGTGTCGCGGCTGGATCACGTGGCCCCCGCGATCACGAAAGTTGCCGGCCACTTTCACGTGGCTCCGACTCGTCGAACCAGCTGTCTCTCCTCTCCTCTCCTCCATTCCTTCACCCTCCATCGCCACGCCGTTTTCACGGTTTCACGACGACGATGACGACGACAAAGACGACGCGCCTTGTTATTCGCCCCGTATCCACTTCTCGCTCCTCCTCCTCCTCCTCCTCCCCTCCTCCTCTCCGGGAAGACACTATTTTTTTTTCTTCTCTCTTTCTCCTTATTAGCGATTCGAAGTTTTGCATAGGCACCTTTTTCTCACCTGGACGTTAATGTCCTTGTAATTATTGGCTGGACGCGTCGGGCCACGCGCGTGACTGCTAATTGGGAGCAACGGTAATTGAGTTAATAACGAGCAATCTTGGAATGGGTAGGCTCTTTTCGTTTTGGCTCTTTGTGGTCCTCGGGGTGAGTTGAGATTCGATACCTGTGTTGTTGATTTGAATATCGGTCAGTCACGAGACGGTCAGTCGAAGTTTCGATTATTTCGAATTTGAAATCGTTATTTTCGAGGATCGTCTTTCCAACATCGTTAATTTTATTATCGATTCATTCGATTTTGTAATGGAAACGAAACGCGTAACAATAAATTAATTCTCCAATTAGCGATGTAAAATTTCATGAAAATTTATGCACGTGTTCTTCGAGTAAATCTTCACTTCTTCGCGAAACGTTTCTCTATTATAAAATTACTAATTTCATTAGCAGCATTAACGCTCAAAGAATCCGAAATAGTTATTTAATTCATCTACGAGTTTATCGAATAAATAAAGAAGAAAAAAAAAAAAAAAAAAAGCGTCGCACCGATTTCAATGCACAAATACAAATGTTACGTTAAATCCAGTGGAGGAAATCAAAGTCCAGTATTGCAATAATCCAATTAATTATTTGTTACACGATACGATAATTGCAGAAAAGAAATCGGGAAAATTTCCTCGGCCTCCGACGGCGGCGGTGTACGTGCCTGAAATTCGCGACAGTGCACCGCGATCGCCTTAAAGATTAACATATCTGCCGCTTATCGCCGCTGAGAGCTCTAAAATACGCTCGAGCCACGGCACGGTCGGCCGGTTGCGCAACCAAAGTTCGCCGATTTCGGGAAAGGACGCGCGCGATTAAACGTTTATACGAGAGATACGTCCTTCGCGGAAGAGGCACGGTCCCCCGTGCGCGAAACAACCGATAACCAAAGCGATAGATTGCAAATAATTGACGTCACACCCGATTTTTTCTTATCTCCTCGCCCGGCCACGAACGCGCCTTTCTACGTTTTTTCTTTCGAATTCGACTCGCGCTCGGCCTTCGCGCAAGATTCCACGCTTCCAAGGTAGATACCCGCTTTTATCGTTTCCAATATATCTGGTGGGCAAGTATATAGGGGAAATTGTTTTACCTTTTTGGATATCGGTGCGTCATCATGCACCGACTCGTTATTACTAGTTTCTGCGAATATTCCCGTTCGTTGGTAGAATCCGATCGAAAGAAACGCCCGATAACGTATTTTTGCTTATTTCTCTCTTTCTTTCTTCTCCTTCTTTGAGAGGGGAAGGAAATAGATGAATCGCGAATCGCGATACGAATTAGAAATTTGCTAATGAGTTTGAATATTGTTTTTTTTTTTTAAAATACTCGGTGCATAGATGTTTACTCGCGACGATAATTCTCGAAATATAATGTATCGATTTAAACAATCATTAAATTCCAAGATGACTTTCCCCTCCCTCTCTGGATCCGCGGTGCGAACAAATCGAAACGTACCCACCTCCTTTTCCCTTATGTATCTCGATTGATATTTTTCGTCGACGTTAACGCATTGTCGTCGAGTTATCCTCGGTGTGGAAGGGTCGAGGAGAAGGCCGGATCCCCGTCCACTTGTATCGCGTTGGTAATCGACGATTCCAGGGATAAAAGGTACCCCGTGGAGAGGCAGCAATCACCCCCCGTCGCGAGCACCCGTCAAATTAATAACCAATGATTTTATA